TATTACCAATGAAAATTCGTGCATCTGCACATCATGATGGCGCATGAAAAAAATGATATGATTCAAGTATTTCTATCAAAGCGGAGTATTGATTCTTTTAGCAGTTAAGTAAGTGACCACAAGACCAGAACTATCTTGAATTAATCGACTACGACAAAATAATGACCAGAAATTGAAAGGGTAGGAGGATATAGGTAAAAATGTCTCACACCAAATGTCTTACAGATTTKAATCCGCTCTCTTTCTGTACATTATTCTTGTCATAGTGCAAAGGGACTCGCAACATCATTTCTAGGGTAGTCGATAGCATTCTCGTACCCAAATCCTTCTAAGTTTTCAAACTAAAAATCGATGTCTCTGGTTGGAGACGAAYGAGTCTTTGATTTGATTGGTTAAAAAATTCCCATGTGTCATCAGCAGTACGACCCAGATTCCAGGTATTCTTGCCCCTTTGAGTCCAAAATTGTAGATTTGTTAAGTTCTTTTCTCACTTTTGATTGACATCACCTTTTGACCGATGTCATCGAAGTCTTCAGTCAGACAGATCCTGCATCAGTGGTTTCATTGACTTCCGCTGGATGGCAAAAGTGCGGGCTCTGAGTACGACAAGATTGGCGTCGTCGAGTCGAGTCACGAGTGCTTTGATTAACTTTTTGGGTACGTGTGTTTTGCAGCTCCGTAGTGACCTCATAAATAAGGGACGGTCCATTTAATTTTTAAGGGGGGGGGGTGTGGATGATTTCTTGTGTGCAAGATTTTTTTTTCTTCGTGGCTTTTGTATAGGATATTTTTTTTTCTCTTGGTGGTGTGTAGGATTGTTTTTTCTTGTATGTAACATTTTTTTGGCTTAGCACAGGGAGCCCAAGCAGTGACTTTGAACCTATAATGGTTAAAAATAAAATTTTACTTAAAAAAATGGTCTACTTTTATTTTATTCAGTGTCACAATGCATTATAGATGGGTTTAAAAAAATTTCCCCTCCATGTATATATATAGTGACAAGGGAGGAGACTCCGCTCGAAATTCTCCCAAAAATGAGCCAAAAACGATCGACAAAAATCCTTTTTTCGCACCGAAATTAAATAAAAACGAAGTTTTATCTGAGACAGCATATGTAAATCAACGTTTTTTACCTTATTTTGGACGAGAGGCATCGATAGAAAC